ACTGTGTTATTGTTCAAGAAGGGTGATCGACATGATATCGGCAACTATCGCCCAATATGCTTATTGTCTGTCGTCTACAAGCTTTTCGCTCGAGACGTCCTAAACAGGATTGACAGAACACTAGACGAAGGACAGCCATGTAAGCAAGCAGGGTCGATGTATCGCGAGAGTACAAAAGACCGCTCTGTCTCACTTTCATCAATTTCCAGAAGGTCTTTGTTTTAACTGAGAGAGAAGCAGTCTTGGAAGCCCTTGATAGTTAAGGAGTCCGTACTCACTACACATAGATTTTTCGTAAGCAGCACAAAAATTTCATAACCAAGGTATCGCCATTCTACAGCGATTTTAACATTGACGTCAAAAGAGGAGTTAGGCAAGGCGATACCATCTCGCCAGAATTATTTACCGCCACCCTCCAGAACGTCGTGCGAACATTGGAATGGAATAATATGGGAGTGAAAATCGATGATCGGCAGTTACACCGTCTTCGCTTTGATGACGATATCGTCCTTATAACACCAAACATTAGCCTAGGGGAGAGTATGCTTGACGACTTTGATAAAGCCTGTGGAAAGATTGGTCTTCGACTAAATCCCATAAAAACGATGTTCAAGAAGAACGCATTGGTTTAGCATGCCCTATTCACGCTCAACGGAACGAATATTTCCTAATGCTCCAGCTGTGTCTTTCTAGTTGGAAAAATCAATATGATGAACGATCTAGCTCCAGAGCTGAGCAGAAGGAAACGAGCGGCTTGGGGAGCTTTCAAGAGCATCGAGGATATTTTGAAGAGAACAAAGAACACCCGACTCCGTACCCACCTTTTCGACACAACGGTGCTTACTGCGTTAACGTATGCGTGAGAAACCTGGTTGCTGCGTAAGCAGGATGAAAGGTCACTCAACATTATCGAAGGCGCAGTCGAAAGGACAGTACTAGGAGTATCCCGTTCCACACAAGTAAAGGGTGGGATCCGAAGCTCCGATCCGCGTCAACGATCAAAAATCAAAGATGCCGTTCTGTGGGCCAAACAGTCGAAGATAAGGTGGGCCAGACACGTAATGCGTATAAACGACAACCGATGGACAGGAGTCATTAGTGACCGGATTCCCAGGAATGTCAAACGTACTGCAGGAAGACCACCGACCCGATGGTCAGAGTTCTTCACAAATAGCCTCGAAGAAAGGTATGATGCTCGACGAGTCCCTAGAGCGAGCAGAACCCACTAGGCTACTCTTGCACGCGACAGGGAAAGTGAAAGATTTTCTGGTGCCCTCGATTCGCTCCACGATCAACGGGACTACAGGCGATACACGTGAGAGGTGATGCATTCATATATGCATATGAATATATACATATCTTTAGGGGACTAAGGCGAAGTTTGCTTTATCAGTTCTTCAAGCTCCTTAATACCAGAGGATTCGTCTTCATGGGTGGAGGTACATCTGCGTGTCGAGCTGCGACGTAAAGCGGGCGATTTCATCTCTCCAGCAGTGTCTCCCAAGCTGAGAATGAGGCCGACGTTTCCGACCGGAAGCCCAGCTAAGATAAACCAGTACCAGAATTCACCGCAATCCTAGTACCAAAATGATAGCATGGTGACAAAACTCTCTCAGATCTACAAGAGTGGAAACTGCCTTGGGTTGTGACAACCAAAAGATGGCATCGGCTAGGCTGACCTCGGGACCCCGTGGAAGCGCGATGGCTAGGCGGGCATATCTTCGCCCTCAGTACCGACACACTGGACGCTACCGTCTACGACGTTGTGTGGTGATAAAATCGCCGAGAAGAGATCAAATCGCAATTTGAATCGGACGTCATTCGAAGCGAACAAAACGAGCATATCGATGATGTCCCATTGAGAGTGGTTCTTGCTGTGCACCTCTAACTCCTGAATAAGCCCTTCGGACGCCTACTTTTACGCCGTTCTTGAGGCGGCTAGTTGCATCAAATTTTTGCTCACTGCCCTACAAATAAAACGTGGAAAAAGCGATATATGCACATAATACGGTAGTAGGTGACAAGTGGCGGCCGTAGAAGATAATTGCAAGGTGATTTACGTCATATAGGCAGAAAGCAGCTCATGTGGTGCAGCGGTTGCAGTAGCCTTGCAATACACATCAGTTCGATCCCATAATCCTGGCCCACCATGCCTGCCATTCCTCAAGGGTCGGAAAATTGGTACCGTACTCGTGCGGGAGGATAGCAGCACTGATTCCGTACACTAGTGGGTTCCCGTGAGTTATTGCTTAGACCAGATATGCTTAAATCACCTCTAACGATCCTTAATAAAGTTGAAAGCTTGGCGCATCTGTGAGAAGTTGATCAATACTGATAGCGTTATCTTTTCTCATAGAAAGAAAGATTTATTGGGAGCATCTCAAGAACGACGCACTTTTAAAAAGTTGCGCCCGGGTCTTTGCGACTATAATGTTCGCCATTCACCCTGGTGAGCGAAGATGGGACTATCACTACATACTACCATTTGAAATCAATGCGCATGGTGATGAAATGGTTAAGTTATGATTCCCATGTCCGACTTTCTATTAACCTCGGCATTGATTGAATAATTCTTTCTACTTCTGTTCAGCAAACACGAGGTGCTATTGTATTTTTTTATTTACGTACAAGCTAACGTTTCGGCGGATTTCGCCTTCCTCATAGCCTGGAAAGGTCAAGTTGACAGCAATCTATTCGGCCAAACACCTCCATAACCAAACAAAGAAACTCTAAACCAAGATTCGAATCACATTTAACACAGCCCCGTACACTCACCGCTTTCTATGGGTCTTCCACTGAGTATGTCGCTGTCGCGTGATGACCAAAACCAGACCGGCCAGACCGTGATGTTCTATGGTTCTATTTGATGATTTTCAGTATCATCTCTTGTTTGCATTTTTTTTCTTTTGTTTCTAAAACAGTGAAAGTAATCCGTCTCACTACAACAATGGATTAGCACCTACCGTATGACTTTTGAAGAAAAAAGTCGTTAATTCAGGTGCAAGTGGGACTCTTCAACAGCTTGATACCAGGATGGCAGTCCCACACGTAACATCACGGCTTTGAGGAAGGCGAAGTCGCCGAAACGTCAGCCATCGATCAATAACATCAAAAACAACGACAACGACAACGAAGATCTGTACCAACCTCGCGTCAGCTTAAGATGATCAGTTTATAAGATCACATAAATAAATATATCAACTATCTGTGCCGAGGTTTATGGAAAGTCGGTCTTTAGAATTGTTGTTGAAGTATTTGAAGCGACTTGGAGCAGCATTTGTTACTACAAATTATTACACGTAGTATATCGTTAATGTTGTTTTTTATGGTGGTTCACTCGTTGACAGGTGAATGCATTTCCACCACTTAACCTCATGGTTTACACATGTCGGTTATTTTCTGTTTTCTAAATATTCTGCAGCTGTCGTGCTTTGATCTAACAGTGAAGCGCAGCTTGTCGATTCGAATAATCACTTAATCCGACGTGTTTTCTGTGAGAATTTCTTGATTGAAACGGATACGCTTATCATAGCTATCATGCGTATCGCAACGATCAAAATGTTGACGCCCCTCATCAGGTAACGTTCATTATTACTACCCTAGAAGGTGTTTGTGGTGAGTTCCAGCGAGGTTCTAGAAATAATTCAAATTTATTCTGAAAAACAGATATAAAATAAAATAATAAATAAAAACAAAACAAATAATAAAAATAAAATAAATAACAAATAATAAAAACAAAAAATAAATAAAATAAAAAAATCGAATAACGTATTCGTTCATTGCATCGTAAGAGCCTAATCAAAAATTGTTTGAATAACGATCTTAAAGCAATTTAAGTACAATCTGGATTATTGTTGTCTTCATGTTCGACGCTACTTGGCTTTTTCACCTGACAAGATGTTCATTGGGTTAGTGGTCATTGGTTGAAAAGGTTCAGATAGTTCTTATAATTAACCACAATATTCCCATACTCTGTAAAGGTGATCGCCATTTTTTCATTTCAGATTGTGGCACAGCTTTTCGGCAGAGTAGAAGAAAATCGTATTTCAAAACCGAATTTTTTTTAACCTTGGTATTACTAATCAAAATGTATTCTTTCCTTGATGAGCTTACACGAGGTTGATAAACAGCCTTATTCGGCCAACGTTTCGACTCTTCGTCTTCATCAAAGCAGACGATCCGAGATGAATTATTATTGTTGCCTTCTGTTAGCTGACAATGATACCGACTTCTGCAGGATTGATTGCCTGGGAAAAACAAGTTACTATCACCAGACAATCTATCGAAAAAGCATCTATCACCCATCAGCAACCTACATAGAAGAGTATCACCGAGTGAGTGTGCTTTATTCGAGAGATGGTCCGCTGAGGAGAGCAAAACTCGATGCGAAGGCGAAGACGCCACCGAAGAAGAACGGTAGACTATCGACTGGGATCGTCGGCTCTGATGAAGACGAAGACGTCGAAACGTTAGTCGAAAATAAATATCTTTATCAACCTCGTGCACGCTCATCAAAGAAAGAATAAACATAAACTGTCTTAACTTGATAAACAACACAGAAGTCGTGAATACTCATACAATCCGATTCTAGATAAGGTGCGGTTGGCTGAAGATCGCCATCAGGAGCCACCCATACTTAGTTTGCGGAGTGAGTCGAGAGAGTTCGGGCGAAGTTAGAAATTACAGGAAAAGATTCCCTGGAATTGCTTTTCTGGCATCTGAATTTCTAATCCTCGATGTTTATCAAGCACGCAGATTATTTTTTATTATTTGCTTCATTTTGTTCTATTTTATTTGGTCCATCTTCGCGTCTACTGTGCGGATTCCAACACTTTTTACATTCGATTCGTTAAAAAAAAACTTTTAAATAAAACTGTTTATCAACCTCGTGTAAGCTCATCAAGGAAAGAAAAAACTACTTAGAAAGAAAAGACAGCAGGAGAACACAGACACTATGTACAGCCATGATTGACTAAATGTTGAAAGAGTGAAGTTCAAGAATGCTTCACAATCTCCTAGCACAACTACTAGATAAGCAAGTTGTAATCGCCCGACACGGCAAACCTGTCAGCGCTTGCGTTTTAACCTACGATTTTTTGTCTGAGAAGCACTAGTTTTTTCCTCTGAGTTTCAGCAAATAGGCCGTAGAACGGCCGCTGGATCTCAGGAACCACGGCACGAAAAAGTCCGTCTATGTATACGAACCGTAGAAGCACTAGATAAGTCTCACTAACGCTTTTTTATTTTCATCAAATAAAAATTGTACTAGTGAACTAAATTGGAGGAAGTTTTTAGGTCCTCACGCGAAAGTAGGCGTCCTCCGCCCGGATCAACGCTGTCTGCTAAAGAAGTGTCGGAATTAAGAAAGGTCGGAAAGGTGATCAACCGCGTTATAAAAGTACCTTAATCCACTTATAACGTAAAATTCTTTAATAAATTCTCGAAGACGTAGAGTAAACCGTATGTTTATAATGTGAGGACGGTGTAATAGGAAAGGATTTGCTTAAAACGTACCAAACCATGTGTACTGATATTGCTACAAACCTGATAGTGCATTACAGACATTTTATGCTCTTTCGTCACAGGGGCACGTACAGCACAGTGGTTAAAGGTGTTGTGCAGGTGTGCACAAGGTGTACACAAAGAATCGGTCAGTAGTTCGATTCTGGGCCCCATGTTCACCAAGGTTTCCCTTCCGCAGATTGGTACCCGACTTGTTTGNGGCCATGTGTTGTTTATTACATAACATCTCTAGCCGCTGCTCTAGACGCAATTCTTATCATGTTCTCCTTATTTTTTCCCAAATCTTTCGTTAAATACTGAAAATCCGCAAATTAGTAGTGTATTCTTACCTGATCTTTTCTTGATTATTGGTTATATAGTTCTTTATAAAGAGCAAAAAGTTCAAAAATCTAGAAACCAATCAAACAAAGAAGTCCAAACGCTGGAAAGCATAACCATAGGGAGCCGGAGCCAAAGGCGTGCAATTTACAGGTAAGTTTCATCTTTAAAAAAACTGTTGAAAGATAAGGCTATTTGCTCAAACATAACATTTCAGGCACGCATCGCTGACGTGATTTCTGAGGTTGTAATGGAGCAGGGGAAATCCTCTTCAAACAAGATGACTTGTAGTAGAGAATTCTATGAGATCTTGCAAGTGGTGCGTTGTTTGTCAATTCAAGTGAATTAAACGGGTTAAATTTAAATAGAATGGTTGCATAATTAAGCGTTTATCTATACTTTATCTATGTAAGTCCTAAATGCTATATAAGTCAGAGCTAGCGCTTTGTTGACAAGTAGGGACAGACACTCCAACAACCCGAAGATGTAAATCGATTGGTTACGTTGATTTTCAGAAATCTTACAATCACAGTATCGAATACAAAGGGTCTAAAAGGTCAACTTAGTTGATGAATAAGTTTCTGAATATTTCCCAGTTATAATATCTCTTTAGGATGAGCTCTAAGAAGTTAATGTAGCATTAAAATTTACCCATGTTTTTGAATAAGTATACGGAAAGCAAATGTTTCTTCTACAAATATTCGAATGCTCTGACAAAATTATTTCTTGGGCTTTCCAGATCTCCACTAGTCCTGTACAATGAGAGAACCTAATAATGCGAATAGCATGCCACAAAGATGCAAATATAACCAAAACTACACTGAGGTATTTGCAAAACTCAGAACCCCAGGCCAGCTTTGAACACCAGATTACCCTTTGCCGGACAAACGAGTTACCCCGCCTATCCCTGTTTTGCCTTTTCCTTAGCCAGATATAAATAGGTAAATAAATGCAAAAATAACACCACATTTTTTTCACACCATGTCCAAAAGTCAGTCTGGGTGTTGTTTTTTAGGTTAGTGAGGATTTCGTTTGGGAAATGCTCCTGAAGGCTAAGGTGCTTGCCGAGATGGATGGGCGAAGAAAGGTCCTGCAGCAAGATATTCGTGCACTTCTAATTCTAAGTGGCAAATGAAAATAAAGTGTTTTCCGTTAGTCATGCTTTGGCACGGAAATGAAGCATCTACGATATTTTGCATGCTCGGATGTATCGGTGCGATGCAAGCTGTGAATGCGGTGTGTAGTGTGTGCAAATTCAAGTGTGGATATCCCTCAAACTTTGTTTGTCTGCCACACGTGGGACACAAATTACATGTACCACACACTGCAGAAGATATGTGCTGTGATACTGATAGTAAGGAACCTATAGAAGAATAAGTCGAGAAGCGGATCACTGCCAGATATAACATCCACGGAAAATTAATGAGTAATCAGAACTAATAAGACAAATGCTCAATTTCTTCTCCACCACAGAAGCTTTCAAATCCCGTCGAACACGATTTCTGTAAACATTGATGCCTTTCTAAGATTCAAAAGCACTTCATTAATTTTCTTACATAGACGCTGGAAATTTTCTTCAGAAACCCAGCTTCTGTTTAGTGATGTTTTCTCTAAAGTGTCTTTTGTATGCCATGCAACCCGTCACTGCAGCCTTAAGCGAGGTATAGATGAGTGAATGAAACGCATGAGGAAAGAAATTTGTCGGCTAAATACATTTTGAAGAATAACAGTAAATCATTCAGCGTTCCATCGTTCTAAGCGTTAATTAGATGTAGCAGAGGTAATGATACATTCTGGCACCCAACATCGTCGCACCATTCACAAAAATTTCATAAGGAGAGTAACTATCACCCACTTGAATTCGCTTTGTTACACCGTCGCCGAGCGGTTGATGGACCAATCGCATTATGAGCAGCCGTCATAGGGAAACGCTGTCATCCTCACTCAACATTCAATATGTCAGTGAGTTAAGTTCACAGTCCTCGAGCTGAAACAGAATTCATGGACTAGTCCGAGCACTTTCACTGACGATGGCTGTAAGATATTAATTCTATTTATTGTTATAAGTACAACACCTAAATGTTCAAGTGGTTTGTCGTTTAATCTTAACTAACAGAAAGCCATATAGGATGTCAACGTGCGATGTACAGCGTGGATCCGCCTCCAGTGGCGCCTCGCAAGTTCAGAAACACTTTAATATATTCATTTGAAAGCTTATAACAGAGGGTAAACCATTGAGAGGAATCACTGCCATTTTGGCAGCAGCATAGTCACTTGATGGTAAGCGGCAACGACTGAGCAAAGTTGTCGCACGTCTGTGAAGATTTAAAGGAACGAAAACCTTACCTCAATAGAACAATGTCCATCGAACAGAGACTTCTCCTAGTCTCTCGCAATTAATCGTGATTCGTAAAAAAGATCATTCAACTAGTCAGGTATTCATGCATTCAAGGAAGCTGGTTCAGGAGTTTAGAACAAAAATACACAGCGTTATCTCGAAATGCTGTACTAATTTCGAATTTTTTGATAGATATGAAATAGTTCGAAGCATGCATCCGTCATTTTCTTCCCGGCTATTTATTTTACAGTAGATTTTTTTCTGTCGTACCTTTCTGTTCAGTCGACAGACTCCGCGAAATAGATATTGCACCATGCCTCACCCGAGAAAATGCAGTTCTTACGCTGATACTTTGCAAAAATGGTTCTCGGAAGACTGATGATCCGGCCACAGAGACTGTTTGCTGCGAGAAGAGTGCTAAATACCTTCTCGGATTCTTGAGCTAGCACGAGGTTAGTATAAAGCATTTATTCGGCTGACGTTCCGACGTTTTCATCTTCTTCAGAGTCGCATTGATTAGAGTCGCTGTTCCAGAGATGGTTGCCCTCGCGATGTGATACATTGGCGCTCCCGATACAATCTCCTTTTTTTGGCGGCAATGCGCCCTGCAGAAGTCGCTGGTGCACTAGCTGACGCGCAGTTTAATAAGAAATTGCGAAAATCCGAAAATCGCATTTTATTGAGCCTTCTTCCCAACTTATTTAAGAGCAATAAACTTGTGCACTGCAGAAATACGATTTCTCTAGTCTCGCGGAAAGATGTTGGCTTTGCGCAGAAGAAATTACACAGAAGACCGTTGCTAACCAACGAGGAGGGTAGTCCCAGCATATTTTTATAGGTGGGGTGATGAGACCTTTGCTAACTAGTAAGAAAGGTGGCTGTCATCATATAACCTTATTTTTGTATAGGTGACAGTAAAAGACAAGGGGAGGTACAAGTTACATTTTGGTTGTAGAGACCCATGGCGAAAAACAGGGCATTGTCGCGAATGTTGAAGGGCAGTTCTTCTGACTCACATGGGTAGAAATCAAACCATATAAGCCGTTCTGGTCCGATCACATTTACGTTGAAATTACATTATATTCAACCTTGAGTAATAAAAAAGAAGTGCCAAAATTTAAACAAGGAAAAGAAACGAAGATTGAAAGTGTTTGCAGAATTCTGCGATGAACCCAACAGTCGCAATGTGCACACATTTCTCGTCTACCATGTGTGCTATAAGCGCGCGTGTGGTGCAGTAGTCGGAGGGGCCCTGCAACACAGACATGGAATTGATCCCTGCGCCCATGGCCCACCAAGCGTATCACCCATCCGTCGTCGGAAGATTGGTATCAGAGTTGTCTAGGAGGATAGCAGCACTGCCCCGATTGATCGGTAGACCCCCCAGTCCAACTTTCTATTAACCTCGGCATTGATTGAATAATATTTTTCATAATGAGGCATTCCTCCCTGCGGTTCATTTTCGGATTCTTGGAATTAATCCAGAAGGCATCGAGAGTTTTGCGCGCTTGTTTTCGATTTCTGCGCGAGAATCGTAACCCCTAATTCAAAATATTCTCCGCTATGTCTCTGCGTCCTATGCGTGCCTAGTCGAGTATTTGGTTTACGTTTGCCGACTAGGGGTTCTTTTATGCGGACACAGAGTGGTCTACCCGTTTTGTCAACGTATTCGTCCCCGCACGCTTTACAAGAGACCAGATAGACTGTACCCGAACTCATGCAATCACCGTCTCTACCATTGAGGCAAATTATACAATTTTGCGTTGTATATACACAGTCGTATAGGCGGTGACGATTATAGTTATAATCACAATCTTAACCTTTTTATTTACTGCGTATTCCTTTTAACCGCAGGGTATTTTGCGAAAGATAACTACTATAATGCTGAGATATTTGCAAAACTCCGGACCGCAGGTGTTTGCGGTGGGGAACGAACGCGCTATTGTCCTTTACGGGGAGTAACGCGTTCACCACCACGCCATGCGGGTCCTTCGTTAGCCTATAAACTATAGCCTCAGCTTAACTGGGTTCAATACCGATTTGGACTCCCCAGATCAATCCCGTTCATGGGTGATTGCTGATGGCAAAAGATCAGTAGAATTATCTGAGAGACAGGCGAAACGAAGGACCCGCATGGTGTGGTGGTGAACGCGTTACTCCCCGGAAAGGACAATATCGCGTTCGCTCCCCACCGCAGACACCTGCGGTGCGCAGTTTTGCAAATATCTCAGTATTATAGTACTCGGCTTCTAAAAACTGCATTGGAAATCTCTGAGGAAATTTTATCTGCAAACATCTTAAAATATACAAGAAATCACTTCAGCTTACCATCGGAAGGACCTTTACGAGATTCTCTTGAAGTCTGCTCCACTGTTCTTTTTGTTCATCTGTCATTTGTTCTTCTTATTATGTGGTCGACCCATCTGTCTCGTTATTGATGCATTTTTTCCTGGATTCCGAAGATGGGATAGGTTTCGAATGTATGAGCTACGCACTTCGGCTAGACGCTGCAAGTGCCGGTGAAATTTCAGAAAACATCATTCAAGCGCTCCGTGTGTAGTGCATAGTACTCTTGACGCTGATGAAGTGTGAGCCCACGTTTCCGATGTATAACAGAGCGTTACATGGATTGTTCAACCGAAAAGCTAAGCTGCAGAGTTTTTGGTCCGTTATTTGATCGGTGACTTCTTTGAGTGACCGGAATGCGGCCCAAGATGCTCTGCTTCTCTCTAATTCCGCCTTCTTGTTGTTTTCCATATTCATCAAACGTCAAAAGTATAGAAACGAGGTTTTCGTAGTTAATGAACCATCCAGTTCGATTTGTTCAATTTTGCACTATGGATTCTTCGTGAATTGGTCCTTGTCTTATTTATACGCAATCCAATCATTTTTCCTCTTCGATTGAGCATTGTTTCTGCTTCACTGGTACTCCTCGAAAAGATGACAATATCATTAGCAAAATGTAGAATTGTTAGGATTGTTCTACCAATACGTATGCTTTGAAGCGCGCACTACACAATGGTTAAAGGCGCCAAACAATACAGAAAGGGATCGATCGCGCACCCCAGGCTCACCAATCCTTCCATCCACCGACTTCAGCAATTCGGTACCAGCCCTATCTGGGGGGATAATAGCACTGAATCGATGCATCGGTAGACCACCACGAGTTATTGCAAAAAAAAAAAACGGAGCTCTCGGCGTTGATGAATGCTTCAGCGATTCGCTATGCATTTGACTTCATCAAGCATCGTTTGGGGCTGATCGGAACCACATTTGGCCTTTACAGTAGCTCGCAGTGGCCTGCCGATTTACCGAGCCAATGCTGCTATCCTTCCAGACAAGTCTGGCACCAATTTTCCGACCTTAGGGGATGGAAGGCTTGGTGGGCCAGGTGCGCGGGAATCGATCCCAAGTGTACTACCCGGCGCCGCCGACCACTGGGCCATACGCGTTCATTCCAAGTCATTGTATGGGCCACGTATTCATTCAATCATCTCTAACAAAGAAACTGAACGATGTTTGCAAAATACCCATCAATCAACTTAATTTGAGGTCTGATTCCGTGTAGAATTTGGGACAACAACGACGTCGGTTAGGCAAAACCTTCTACTTACTATAATGTGGTGTATTTCGTTATGGTATTCTCCATTGGGAAACTCCAACGTCCGACGTTGAGGGTGGGGCTTCTGGAATTACGAGTTGCCATGGATTGTCTTGGTCGCCGTGATAAACTCAGACAGCCGCACGCCCTCTTAGTTCCATTCTAATCCGTGGGTCCCAATGTGACGTTCTTCAGACGTTCTTCTTTGTCCAATCTTGGCATTGAAATCTCCGATGATGACACTGAAGAATGTGTGGTCTTCTCTGTAGAACTTCTGTAAGTCCATATAGAACGCTTCCACTTCTTCTTCGTCATAGTTTGATGTCGGCGCGTAAACGACGAAGATTTTCAAAGCCAGTATTGATCTACATCTTTTTAATCGTAAACGTCCGATCCGGGTTGTAAGCTGTCTAAATAAATCGTTGTTCATGGACAAACTAATGTTGGCGAGAACGTCAATACCGCCGACTCCTCTACTGGCGCATGTTCAGAGGAACAGTCCTTCTCCGGTGTCATAGACGGCGTTGAAGGGGTGGTGTCGTCTCGTCTCGGCCAGGCCGATGACGTCGTACTTTATCCTTCTTGCTTGCATGAGCAAGACTTCTATCGAGGACTCGGATGCAAGTGTACGTGCAATGTAGGTACAAATCTTCACTTTAGTTCTTTGATATCCAGGCAGCGTCCATTAGCCCTTAGATTTTAGCATTCTCTTCGTACTCGCCCTACCCAGCGCTGCCAATTTGGGGGCTCTTTCGGGGTCAGGGAATTGAGGCTTGTTTGTTTTACTGTTTTTAACTCTTTGATACCTACGTATAGCTTGCTGGGTTCCGAATGTGAGGGCTGCGTATACTCACGGGTAGCTTGCCAGACTCTCCCAAAGTGGACATGAAGCCTGTTTGTTGGAGGCGACTCCTTACCGCCTCCCATATACTTCCCAGTCAGTTGATTGCAGCCTTTTAGCAGAATTAACTCGCAGAATACAATCCGCATAAGCAAAAACGTACCCACACACGCATGCATGAATACGCTTCGTAAATACAAAATGTATGTGCCAAATCGGCGCAGCAGAAACATGGAGTCCATCTTCTGGATCCACCTGCGTCTCAGGGAAGCAAAGGTCTCTTTTGGTCCGCTATCAACTCCTCACCCTCTAGCTGGTGACGCGCCACGTAGCCTCGTGATGAACCGCCTATTGGAATCTCTCATATGAAGGAAATCCGTTATTTGTTGGAGGCGACTCCTAACCGCAGCCATATGTGACTCTGACCGCTGTTCTTCCTCGGTAGAAGACTAGTGAAAAAAGCGGCTCTGAAGAAGGCGATTCTGCCGAAACATCAGCTACGATTGTATTGTATACGTGCTATTGTATGGAAGTAAACGTATGCTGTTTAACAACCTCGCGATTGCTGAGAGAGAAAATGACGAGTTCGAGTAACAGTTGAAGCAGAAAGAAACGAGCAGTCAATATGTGGCATAAAAACTTGAAAATTTTATCATTCATACTACATTATTGGTACTCTTGTACGCTCTGCAAACCGCTCTATTCGCCCTGCTCAGCTCTAGAAACACGTCGCTAATAATGGTGGATTACTGATCCAGGTATGAGTGGTCCAGGTAGCTATATGGTGGTATAATAGTTTCCATCTGGAAGTCCACCTAAGAGTGAAACAATAGCAGGAATCATCACTGTTCTGGTACCAAACTACTCGCATGGTAACAAATCTCCTTCTAACCCATATGGGAAGCGACTGCCTAGGGCGGCGGCTACCAGAGGTAGTGTTGGGCCAGATTGACCTCAAGACTTTCAGGAACCACAGTGGATAAACAAGGAAAACTTCAGAGAATAGAAATTACACTGAGGCCCGCACAACCGATGAAGAAGAAGAATCAAAGTATCGAAGTAAATAAGCAAGATATAAGTGGCAGAAGGATTGGGAAACACTTGGTGCCGTTGAATACGGGTGGTATATCTCGACGAACAAATCTCTTCGTCATAGTATTGTTTTCTTTTGTTCTAACCGAAAACCAATAGTAGGCCAACATTCATTCTGCTTGGCTAATGCTTGATCGCACAACGGCAATGTCATACGCAAAGAGAAACGCTCTAGGTCCGGTCATCGATTTTCATTCCCTTGGTGCCCATTATTATCTTAAGCTTTTGCATGACAGTTTGGAGAGCGGCATCAATTAATTTCGGCGAGATTTTATCGCTGTGTCGGACGTATCCCTTTACGTCAATGATTACATCCTTATAGAATGGCCACGCTATTCTACTCGTGAACTTTATGAAGAAATCGTATTCACCTAATGGAGGTGTCCTGGTTTCCTTAAACTTCCACTGTTATCCTTTTATTAAATGTGTAGGGTTTGTTTTTAATTACCCGGTGGTAAAAGGCAGAACTGTCTTGTATCGTGCAAGTACTTTAACTAGTCTTTTTGTTACCGTTCGTGCACGACGCAGTGCACTGAACTCTTTTTGGAGAATTACTTGCGTGGCTTTCGATGTCCTGCCACTCGTGGTAGGGATGGCTGGAATAAATAGCTTGCAAACAACAAATGATTCAAGGATTGAGCGATAGCTAACGATGACGAGTCTTCCATTTCCTTCAAGCCCACAGTCCTTCTCTTTTGTCCATTAAAAAGCCTCTTTACGTTCTTACATAGAATGGTATTGGAAGCGGAACTGGTGTGGTAATGAGAATTGGCACTGAATTATTTAGATATTCGTGTCTAAATTTTCGGGAACAGTTGTTCACCAGCGATGTAGTACGTTGAACTTTTGGGTTATGGGACCGTGTCATTGTTCAAGAAGGGTGACCTGCACAATATCGGCAACAAGCGCCCAATCTGCTTGCTGTCTGTGCTCAAAGTTTCCCACCAACCCACACCCTCCTCTCCCCACCCCTCTCCCAACCACCTCGGATCAACATGTTACGGAATTACTTATTATCAATTCATGGGAATAAAAAGAAAAAAAACCTGGTTGCACGAATTGTTTACCACGCCTAGTTTGACTCCAATGGATATTATCAGCGAGTTTAGCAATAATGAAAAAGAAAATTGAACAACTCTCTGTCGAACTTTTAGCGCTTTTGCTCAGTGTGGATTTAAAGTCGTAGACATCGACTTGAACAAACCTTCATCGATGAAACTGAAGATTGAAAACACAAAAAGAAGAGAGCAAAGCTCACCTCGGGATTGGAGGCCTGTCTTGGGCTATTCGTGTCACATCGTCGCCCATAGTGTTGCTGCGGGCCGGATCCCGAGAACTCCGTTAAATCCACATGATTAACGGTGCTCCCGCGATCCGCCTCGCGTTGACGATACACACTATGAGGACCCTCGGCCGTCGCCCTAGGTAGAGATCTCCGTATCCGTCGCGGTTTTCAATACGCCGTTTTCAGCGTGGAAACTCACTGTTTGGTACGACTCTCCACCAATTATGGGTGCTAGCAAATGTTCACTTATGTTTTCGAACTATTTTGATGAAGATTCATGCTGTACAGGCCATCTAGTTCAGTAACTTATACAACAACTGCGATTCTTTACCATTTCGACTTCTTAACTTTGCTTTCTCTTGTAATTTGTGCTCAAACAAATACTGAGTGTGTTTTCATGACCTAAACTAAACACACCATCAAACGTTCATAATTTCATGTAAAGAGAAGTATATCTAAATTGAAAACAATAGAATGTTTCCACCGGTAAAGTTTCTTCTTACCTCGGTAATTCTAACTGCGGTCCAATTTTATAGCGCCGCTTCGCGCTCTACTCCTGCTCGTCCTTTTCTCAAAAATCTAAATCTGAAGAAATCCCTTCGCTCACTTGTGTAACACGTGATGCTCTTAACATCGTCCTTCTGACTGCGTGCTCTACAACAATCCTTCATCGTGATTACGCAGCGACCAGGTTCCTGGCGCATACGTTGAGGCAGGAAGTACCGTTCAGTCGAGGAATTGGGCACGGCGTCGGGTGTTCTTTGTTCTCATCACTACATCCTCGATGCTGTTGAAATCTCCCCAAGTCGTTCGTTTCCTTCTGCTCAACTCTGCGACTAGGTTATTAATCGCGTTGATTTACCCACCTGGATAGACATAATTGGAGCATGCGGAAATATTTGTTCCGTTGAGCCTGAATGGGGCATACGAAACCAATGCGTTGCTCGTGAACATCGTTTTCGTGAGATTTAGTCGACGACCAATCCTTTCACAGGCTTGTCAAAGTCTTCCCATATTATCCCAATCCAATGTTTGCATGGCGTTCTCGAGGGTGGAGGTGAATAATTTTGGCGAGACGGTATCGCCTTGTCTGACCTCTCCTTTCACCTCGATGTTAATACCGTTGTAGAATAGTGGTATCTCGGTCGTGAAATTTTTGTAAGGCTCACGAAGAATTTTCATATACTGAGTAGGGACTCATTGACCATCAAGAACTTCCATGACTGCTTTTATCTCAATTGAGTCAAAGGCCTTCTTCAAATCGATTGAAGTGAGGCAAAGCGATGTTTTGTACTCTCGCGATACTTCAATGAGCCGTGTTACCGTGTGGCTGTGGTTCATCGTACTAAATCCTTTTCGAAACCCTGCTTGCTCACATGGCTGTCCTTCGTTAAGTGTTCTGTCAATCCTGTTTAGGACGGCTCGAGTGAAAAGTTTGTAGACGACAGAGAGCGAGCAGATTGGGCGATAGTTCCCGACATCGTGTAGGTCACCCTTTTTGAACAATAAAATGGTCTTGCCGGTCTTTCGCAGAGCGCGAACCCTGCATTCAGACAGGTATCGTTGAACAGCCGAGCCAGTGTGTTTACTAGGATTAACGAAAGGTTCCTCAGATGTTCAGATATCATACTGTCAGGTGTTACAACATATCCATTCTCCTTTATTTCATATGACGCTAGGTGGATGTAGCGATCGAAGAGATCTGAGAAGTATTAGTGAATGTTTTCCTCTATTGCCTTTCTGGACGCTGTAACTGTTCCGTCTGCGCGTCGTACTGCAATCATCTTAGTCTCGTAATTGGCGAAGCTTCGATGGGCTTTGTGAGTACTTTTTCCAACCTCTCCAGCTTCGACTATTACTGCTGCTCTTCTCTCTTTAAGATCTGGTTTTATCGCCTGTCCGCCTCGTTTTGCAAGTTCGGACGTTGGTTTGCGGTTGCCTGTAGCTCGTGCGATTCCACGCTGGCCTATCAGCTCGAGTGCTTCTGGAGACAGACGTCTCTTGGTTACTTTCGAACTCTCGGCTTTCATAGCGCTAACGTGAAAATGTTAAACGAGCCGATTATGCTTTAGAACGCTACCCATAATATAACCTGCTCATGTGTTGATGGATATTAAGGAGAATTTGGTGAGGTAATTGATTACTTTTCTTATAAAAACTCTCACTGTTTTCGTTCATCGAATTATTATTTAAAAAGGAGCTACGTTTTTCACGTAATAAAAGAAATATGATCAATGTTGGTCGAGTCCGACAATTTGATTTTTCAGGTAACACCTTCGAGTGTTGGCATTATTTTGATGGTGATTCTGGCTCTTTTGTTTCATCTTCTAACGCGTCTGTGTTGCCTATTCCTTCGTGCCTAATGCAGGTAAGGAGTTTCACATCTAAAGTGGACGGTACATCTTTTTATCGTGGTTTGTTGGAAAATTGCTCTAATGAGGTGTAGAACTTATTATGGCTGAATTTCTTCAGTTGGCAGACGTGGCATTAGTGAAGGCAGTGCTTGTGGTCGAGAAATATTCGGATCCGACTATTACACAATTTCTCGCCCCGAGCTCAAGCCAGGTTACGCAGTGAGTGGTTCCATATTTTGCCAGATCCACTTGTGATTATGAATACTTCACTAATCGTCTTTTCGAAAATAAGACAATCCTATAGTGGATGTGTGATAAAGTATGATAAAGTGTAGCAGTTTATGGTATAAACGACAACAAAAAGCAGACGCAATAATCTCTGACTAGAAGACACAGCAGAGCTCTTAGTTCCCAAAAATTTTATCCATTTACAAAGTCTGAATAAAACTGCAATACTGGTTTTACAAAACGTTGAACTATGATCTGTCTAATAGGAGGCAGGTAACGCAGTGATAGTGAGCTGATCATCACGAGCACGGTGGTAGTCGGACCCGCTCCGGCGTTGCCAACCTTACTGGCTCTCCGAGCTCGGGAAATTGGTACTAGGCCTGTTTGGAATAAGTTTACTCTCTGCTTTCCAATTAAAACCCCTCTAGTATGCTGGACGAGGACTCCAGAGAAGATCAACTCGACCGGCGTTCAACGACATTCATAAAGAAGACGATAATCCTCAAGCAGTAACCTAAACCACACGCAAAACTTGGAAGACCTTTGTGGATGTTGGATGCGAAAAAAACAAATCGAATGCAAAAGTGCTGCGATATCTACAGTAGATGTAAAGACGTGTAGTGTAAAGAAAATAAGACAAAGTTTCAAGAATCTCTTTATTTGACTGCTTTTTGAAGATAATAAATCAATTCAGGACGAAATGATGGGCCACGATAACGCTGCAGCACTCGGTGCATACCTCGATGACGGAGCTTCGGTCTCCTATGGAGGATCACTAGAAGATGTGGAGCGACGAGTCACTACTGACGTAACGAGTCGTGAGATCGGAACGACAACCGTGCTTCGTGAGAGAGGCAAGATTGGGAGCCGAAGCCACGTTCTCTCTAAAAAGTGATGAAATTCTTCAGAAAACCGAGGAAACTTTTGTGAACAGTTAACTATATAATTATCAGTGCTTGGTGGAAGCTTTTAAGTTCTCTCAACAATCTGACTTATTTATGGGCTGGAGACCACGGAAGTTCTATACGGTGAATGCACCAGCACATAGTATTTTCTGTTGCTTTGTTCACTTACAGTTCCACTGAAATTCACTTGGGTCCATTTGTTTTCCTGTAAAAGTTATTGCTCTTTTGTAAACAATTCCTGACTAACTTTTATATCCCTATACTTTGTTTGTTTTATAGCTCCGAGCGTTTTAGATTGTTTCACATGGCCGGCTGGAAACTGATGCCGAGCTGTACGCAGTAACATCTTCAGATTAATTTCGACAAGCCGCCGAAGCCGGTGCATCTATTGCAATCCATGCTTCATTGGCGGCCGGAGATCATGCGAGGCAAATGCTGTGGTGAATTGAAGAGTTCTGTGAGAAAATAGAATTGATGTGAACAAATTAAGTGCTCGATAAGCGCTTCGCAAGGAATTGCTGATTTCTTAATTCCGAATGCAAATTTTTTATCTTTTGGTTTATTGATAGGACATGAGATTGTTGCAGTTTCTGTTTTTAAATGTTCTATTACGTTTAGTATGAGTCGGATTCAAAAGTATGGAATGTAGACAATGCAACCTACGACCGAGTTACTTAAGGTGACACAATCACTTTACCTGCCCGGTGCTGAACCACGAACGGGAACCAAGAGACGGCGAAGTGAAGTGCTCACAAACACCACCGCCGAAGAAGTTAATTACCTCCGAACTAGGTACTGCTGTAGTCATTCTTTAATCTAAGTTGCATTCCGATTGTTTGGAGGAAAGTAGGGTAGATAACTAACGAGTAGCTTGTTCCAGTACGTGGGTGACCAGACTAATTTCATTTTCAAAATACGTGCATAGGTTTTGATCGTATCACATTCACTCACACTCCGCATGACTCCTATTTACAGCTAGAAAGATATAGCATTTTCTTAGGAGGCGCTGTAAAGTGTCCACTAATCTCTGAACATGTATTTTTAAAATTTGTAGATCTTTCATCATACGGCAGTCATTCCGTCAATTCCTGCTATTTAGTACTTAGCGGGTAGACCAGATATGCATTCCATCCCTTCCAACCATACTTAATGAAGTCGAATGCATGGCGCATCCCTCAGGGATTGATCAACGCCGAGAGCTTTATGCTTTTAGTACTTACCGGGAAAGCCTTGGCAGCCAAATCGTGATAAGACTGTTTGCCAGCCCACATCCGTTTGCTGCTTGTTAGTCTAATCATTTATTGGTAGGTTTTCATCTTGCTGAATTAAATATCTCCTCTTAATATCCTCAGTAAAAACACACTGTACGAGTGTAAACATTTAGAAAGCGAAAGCTAATCTTTCGTATACCTTTTGTATTGGACCTGCCGTCAAGTTACTTTCGCCATCGTGCTAATCTTTGTCTACTGAACGAAACATATTACTCTTCATCTTTTCAGGAATTCGACTTCTACATCGTCCTTTGGAGGTCGGTTACTTTTCGATTCCTACTCTCGTTTCTGATCTCGGTTTTAACATCTCCGAATCAACTAGTAGAAGGACTGAGCGAAGGATTCATCGCCGAAAGCATATCCCCTTCGGATTTTCGGATCCACATCGTGGTGATTACCTGGATGCTCCCTTGAAAGGTTAGGTCAGGATTAATGCAAGATAAGCTGCACAACCAACAATAGGCCAGCCTCAGTGCCCTGTACACTGGGTGCTTCCGTCTATGACGTTAGGCGGTGAGACGTCCGGTGAGAGGCCAGGTGGGTTGCGCAGGATATCACTGGAACCGGAGCTGACGAAGACACGCACGACACGCCATAGAGACTCGGCTGTTTACACGTTACCTACTAAATGCAAGGTTCCTTCTCACTGGAAGACCACCAAGACCGTGCTATTGTTCAAGAAAGGCGACCTCCACGACTTTGGCAACTATCGCCCAATCTGCTTGCTGTCTGCCGTATACAAACCCTTCACTCGAGTTATCCTAAACAGGATTGACAGAACACTAGACGGGGTTGATCTGGGGAGCCAATATCGGCATTGAACCCAGCTAAGCTGATCCCGTTGACGGGTGATTGCTGATGGCAAAAAAGATCGACAGAACTAGCTGAGATACACGCAAAGCGAAGGACCCGGATGGTGTAGTGGTGAAGTGCGCGGCTCCCCGGTAAGGACAACAGCGCGTGTTCGTTCTCCATTGCATACACCTGTGGCCCGGAGTTTTGCAAATATCTCAGCATTTCATACGAGTTATATTTCGCAACATAACCTGCCATTAAGAAGAAAAAGGCAGTAAATAAAAGAGTTAAGATTGTGATTATAAAAGACTTCAATATTCCATGTATCCTGGAAATGCAATGCATGATTGAGGTGAGAGTGAAATGAAATGTGCAATTTCTCTTCACACTCGCTTCAGCAAAAGGAAAAAACAATGAATGTTGGTTGGGATGCACAACCAAACCTAAAAAAAAGCTCTATAAAAGCTATAAAATAATCCATAACATAACCTGCATTGCACTCGCAAGATACCATTGTAGAAAACTTCCCTTCTTGTCTGGGTCATTCGTTTTGTTTCTCTCTCAGCTGTGTGGTTGTGAACGCGTCAGCCTCCGGAAAGGGTAATAGGGCGTTCGTTCCCCACCACAGACACCTGCGGTCTGCAGTTTTGCAAATTTCTTAGAACCATTGTGGTTGTATTTCGCATAATACATTGCCATAAAAAGATTCTAGTAAGAAGAAAATAAAAAGTGAACATGCTGACGTTATATAAAACTTCTTCCGCTTTTAGTTCATGTATAATCGAAATTTCGTTTCAAGTTTAAATTCCTCCCAACGGTTTACCGCCTCTTCGTGGCTGGGAGGTGTTCCTTGGTGTTGGACTGTGATGTACAGTGGGAGGATTAGTCCCTCCGGCAGCGTCTCCCAAGCTGGAAAGGAGTCCGGCCTTTCCGAAAGGAAGCCTAGCTAAGAGTAAGCCAATACCAGGATCCACCACGGTCTTGGTATCAAAGTCGCATAGTGGTAAACCTCTCTTTGATCACCAAGAGCTGCGACTTCCCGTGGTGGTGAAGACCTGGGACAGACGTTGGCCAGGCTAACCTCGGAATTTCTGGAAACGACAATGACTTAACCAACAATTCTTCGAAAAATGGTGATTATGCTGGGACCCGCTCAGCCTGTGACGACGGGCCGTTGAAGTATCAAATATAGTCAAAATTGCATCGCATGCAATAGAAAAACAAAGGAAACAAAAACTGCCTATTCAAGCCTCAAGCCGCATGCTTTCATTGATTAGACTATAGCTGGTTTTTATTGCAAAAAAAGATTCAAAAATGTCAAGAGTCATTGCTCGCTAATATTGTGAAAGGGCCATCTCCGACCTATATCTGTTGGCCACTAAGGAGGACGATCAATAAAAACCTTAATATGTGCATTAATTGAAATAAGCTGCTCTTGCAAAGATTTTCAGGCTTTCGAAATTTTTCATGATGCATA